TTTTTTCCTATTCAATCTTATACGACGTGAAGTGCCAGTTATAGATCGAGAATTGAGAAATTGTAATAGTACTACATATGTGGTGCAGGATGTTTCTCCCTGCATACTTGATTGGGCTATTGTTGTCGCCTTGCGGAAGGCCGTTCTGCCATTTTAGCTCAATATCAGTATAACCTAAGGTTTTGAGATTTACCATTGATTGTTATGACGATTCGTGTGTTGCTATCGCACAATGTTGTGTAATAGTAGGATGTTTGTCTATGCGTTGAGGCAGTGAATGACATAAAAGGAGGTTTACTCAGTGCATGATTCAGAGATTCAGTATTTTATTTCCAGCGGAGGAAAGGCAATCAGCCTACGAATGCTCAGATTTGGGTTGATGGAGTAACGAGACTTAGTATTTTCGAGCGTGGTAGAATTTTTATCAGTAATGTAGTGTCGTCGTCCATGATCGAATGTGTTAAGTTCGTTGGTGTAATGATCTTCGTCAACATCTCCCTCGGGGCAGGGGTAGTGTGAAATAGTGCCGGAGAAACGACTATTAGAAATAGAGGAGTGTAGCAATTTCAGAGTCGAATGGGTATTTTTAATATTGACGGCTCGAGAAAAATAATCTTCGGAAAGGTTTAAAGTTGGTAGCGATCTATTGATCCGGGTGCTACATAGATGGATTTCTGATTTGAGGCAACGACTGGGCAGCGAAGGATGAGGAAGGACATGTGGGAGGTGTCTTGTGGTGGTTAAATTTCTAGAAGGCCAGGTGTAAGAAACAAGAGTTGGGTAGTTGCTTAAAGGAGTGAGTTTGACCAAAGTGGGAGAGTGGCAGAGTAGCATATGGATTATGTGGTAGGATGACTACACACCTTGAGAAAAGTTTAGAGTGATTTAGGATTCATGGTGGACAATGACTAGGTCTACAGACGTAATTTGGAACATTGGTTATTATATGACGAAAAATTGGATATGACAGAAAAGGAGTTGCTTGATATGAAGAAGGATATAACATGACTTTGAATTGGAATGTATTGTCGCACCTTTAGTTGATTTCCATGAGGAGTGAACGAACTTTTATAGCTGGTGAATAAGCGCGTGCTCAGGATGGGTTACTAATTTTGTAGTAATTGTACCAGTACACCGACATTGGAAGATATCAGCATGTAATTTCCACATGTGGGTTATCTCATGTGAATAGGTTAGCGATCGTGTGGCGTTGACAAAGCTTCTACAAAGGATTGTACTGGCTATCCAGTTAGAGGTTAAATATGTAAATGTGTCTAGTAATTCAGAGTGTTCATGAAAGTTTTAACATAAAGATTTCGAGAAATTTGGCGGGTTGACTGTGCAAGATTATGCCAATAATGAAGAAAGAGCCTTAGTGGGTTCTAGGTTTATGCAATGGTAGCTTCCAGCTAAGTGGGAGAGCCCCACCACCTACGATTAGATTGTATGGTTATCTACTTAAGAGGTTTTTGGGTATCGACATATTGATGGGTTATTGCGACAAATGAAAGAGAACATTAGTGGTAATTTGAGCGAAGGATTTGAGGAATGTGTTCTATAATAGGCCTTATCGATTCATGTTCAGGCTTTGAGGAAGGTGATTCGGCCGGGTGCTTCTTTGAGAGGGTGGTCATGTGCTAGAGGAGCCTTGTAGTTGATTATATTCGGGACTAAGTCATAGTGGGTGACTCTCAATAATGGTCCTAGTGGATTCAAAAGTTAAAGTGTGGTGCCTAAGGATTTCGAGTCGATAGTATGGTTGAGTATCAAGCTTTTGCAGCCAAAGGAGCTTGGGGTGTTCTGCGTTATCTCCGGTCTGCGGTGTAGTATAAGAAGAATGGAAGGAAATAACTTTGTATTTATAGAAGAATTATAAGAATGGGTATACCAGTTGAAGACACGATTATGCGCACAAGGAGGGAATGAAGTGGCTCGTGGGTTTTGAGACAATGTGGTCTTGTGAAGTGGGGTCACTCAGGACGAGTGCAGATTAAGTTCGCTATGTTTTGAATGGAGCTATTATTATTCCTAAGGCAAGTCCAGGGTAAATTAGAAGATGTCGTATCAGTTAGCAATGATTGAATCAGCATAATGATGGCAATGATCAACTCCTTCAGCATGTTGAGTTACTCATGTGATTTGTGACGGTACGTGCGAGGTTTGACGGTCGCCGTAATGATTTTATTCGGAGGTTTTCGAGTATTATGGCATGTTATGTGTAGATGGGTCCCAAAAGAGTTATGGTTGTTTAGACCACTACTTAAAGTTGGTATTTTCTGTGGATATAATATAGAAGGTATTACATAAATGAGAGAATTTATAATGTCAACGGCATAATAGACTTTTCAGGTGGAAGGTTTGTAAAATTTGGTCAAAGTGATTATTGTGATAATTATAGCATAGTAACATGATATTTGTGTAACAAAAGAAAGAAAAGTGACTTTTGGGTAATGAACACAAATCTGAATAACCTTTACGTAACAAAAGAAATAAAAATGACTTTTGGATAATGAACACAAAGTTGAATGACCACCCATGAAATTTACTCTATCCCTATTTACAGAATTTTTACTTAAATTAAAGCTTTAGTTTATAATTTGATAATGATGTCCAAACTAAATAGAACAACATAATTCAGTTTGGTAGAGGATCACAAAGCCTGTGAATCCTAATAATTTCAAAGCAATGCATGGTCTAAACCAAAACAATGCGGAACCTTTAATTTTTAACTCTTCAGTTTATAATCGTCAGCAAATACTCTATTCTTTTCCAAAATGAAAACAATCGGTTTATTAGAGAAAGATAATAGGCAAATCTTCGGATAGTTTCAGGTTTCAAATAAATGGATCATGTAAGGACATAGCCAAATAAAAATGCTAAATAATGATCTTGTTCAAGAATTTAGGTAAGCTTCTGGACATAGGGACAACATTTTGCTGTAAGTTTGTAACTGTCAAATTATATTTACACTTCGGCAGAGATGGTTGATTTTATGCTTGATTAGTTGCACCTCAAATTTGGAGCTGAAGCTAACTCTATGCAATGCTGAAAATTAACTCTTTAAAACAGCATAAGGTAAACCCGTGTATAACAAACCTAATGTGATCATGCTCTTTCTTGAACTCATGTATATCGCGAAAGTTTAATGCACTCTTTCACAAGTGTAAGGTTGAATTTAAAAAATATTATTTTGCTAACTTATCCACAAATAAGAAATTGGTTAGATAAGAATTTGTTTTTGAAATGGGGCATCTAAAATATAAGGTTCTATTACATCTACATCTTTCACAAATCACCCCAAGAGAAGGATAGGAAGTTCATATATATACACCCTCCTTCCTGAAGCAAAAAACAAAATTAACTAACAAAGAAATTTAACTTTTCATACTTTGTTCTTATACTAGGAAGTTGTCATTTATCAAGTAGGAAAGGTCCTTTGACATTGTTGGGCAGTTGTTGGAAACAATGAAACACCCTTCTATGATTTGTGGTGGTAGCCAATTTAGCAAGACAATCCGCTACTTGGTTACCTTCTCTGAAGCAATGTCTGACAGTAGCTCTGGACTGTTTAACTATGAAGGAAGTTCTGTCTATCACCTTTTTTATCTTCACATTGTTTGTATCTCTTTTTGCCAACATATCAACAATGACCTTTGAGTCCAGTTCGAGAGAGAAATTAGTGTATCCATTTTGATTACACCATTCCCCTCCAAACTCTGTTGCCTTAGCTCTGTCATGGTATTATTCTCACAGCTGACAAAGATAGAAAATACCATAATCAGATTCCCTTGACTGTCCCTGACCACCCCTCCAATGCATGCCTTGCCATTTTCATTGCAGAAACTACCATCCGTATTAATCTTGACATTATCGGGTAGAGGAAATTCCTATGTAACTTGTATCCATTTTTGGGGTGGCCTGAGTCTCTCAATTTTATCACATAATAGGGGCCATTCCATTTGAGTATAATCACCAGGGACAATGTTAGCGATGACATCTTTCAAGGTCCAAATGATTTGGTGTCTCATAGTGCTCAACTGAAACTTCTTCTGTTTTCCATATCTGCACGTATTCCTTTGTTTCCAGATTTCACAATATATGATAGTGGGAGCAATTTGAAGAATTTGATTGTGCACTTTATTGTTGGTAATTGTCTCCTACCATCTCTTAAAGGTAGCAATAACAGGTTCCTGTTGGTGTTTGATTCCAAGGTCATTTCCGATATTATTCCATATGAAGTTGGCAGCTTCACTGCTATTGAAGACATGTTGCACTGTTTCAACCTGGGCAAAGGAGCAACAAGAACATCTGGAAATAATATTAGTACCATGTTGAGTTAGAAGAAAACTTCCCGTCATTAGAGATAATCCAAACAATGAAGTCATCCTCATTTCGATCCCCATTTTCCAGGTGAGCAATATCATCAGTGATATGAGCAGGGAGAGTTTCATTGAGTTTGCCAAAGTTCCATCCTCCATTATTCATGAAGTGTTTCACCTATAATTTAGAAGATCTCCCACCTCCCTGGCAGAGATTGGCTAAAGCACCTTTGCCTGTCCAATTGTCCCACCAAAAACTACAATTACCTTTCTGAACTTCCCATCTAATGTTATTCTCTGCTTTGTCCCTGATTTTGAGCATGTTTCTCCAAATATGAGAGTCAGTTGGATTTGGCCTTTTGTGAACCGGATAGGCTCTTTTGCAATATTTACTCTTGAGAAATTGGCCCATATGGAAGGTTGAGTTTTGAATCTCTACCATCTTTTAATGCCAAGCGTATCTTTGATATCTTCCTTTTTTTCTGACACTTACTCCTCCCTCATCTTTAGGGAGGCAAAGGTTGTTCCATAAGAACCAATGAGATTTGTTCTTACCATCATTTGTGCCCCAGAAGAAATTTGCAAAGTGTTTCTCCATGAGCTTAGTAATTCCTTTAGGAGGATTCATAGCACATAGAATGTATGTGGGGAGGGATTACTGGACATGTTTAATCAAAATCGTTATTGCTGGACATGTTTAATCAAAATCATTCTTCCTCCAGAAGACATCATATTGGCTTGCCATCCATTGAGCTTTTTGATAATTTTGAAAAGCATATCGTCAAAAAGATTGCTAGTTTTTCTCCCATAGTAGATAGGGCATCCCAGATAAGTGAATGGGAAGGACTTATCCATATAACCGGTAGCATTCCTAATTCTATTAATTCTTGCAGCACAAGTGTGAGGGGCTGTAATAAAGAAACTCTTATCATTGTTAACTTTCTGCCCAGAAGCCTTTTCATACCTGTTAATAACCTTTTTGATAAGCTTAAGAGTCATGTTGTTTCCTTCATAGAATATAACAATATCATCGGCATATGCTAAATGATTGATCATAGAGCCTCTTTGATCCATGCTAAAAGGAGTGAAACTAATAAAGTCATTCAGCTCGTTGAGATATCTAAAGAGAACCTCAGCTCCAATAATAAACAATGAAAGGGATAAAGGATTTCCTTGTTTGGGCCCTGAGTTAATGTGAAAAAGCCAGTTCTAGTCCCATTGATGATGATAGATTACCAGATATCTTGTAGGAGCCCCCAGATAATGTCAATCCAGTTTTCAGAAAAGCCAAATTTTCTCATAACTGCCATCAGAAAGGTCCAGGAAATTCTGTCATATGCTTTTGCCATGTCGAGTTTTATTATAACATTACCTCCTCTGTTCTTTTTGTTCACATCTTGAACAATCTCCTGTGCTAGTAAAATATTTTCAGTGATCAATCTTCCTTTCACAAAGCCACTCTGATTTTCTAAAATAAGCTTCCCTAGAATAGGATTTAGTCTTCTGAAAAGGATCTTGGAGATAATCTTGGCCGTAAAGTTACTCAAACTAATAGGTCTCAAATCTGAGAAACTACTAGGAGAGTCCACTTTAGGAATAAGAACTAGGCAAGTATGAAAGAAGAATTTAGTAAGCCTCCTACCATTGAATACTGTTTGAACAAAATCAGTAATATCCTCCTTAATGATATCCCAACAGGTTTGGAATAATTTTCCATTATACCCATCTGGCCTAGCTGCACTAGTAGAACTCATGCTGAAAATAACATCTCTAATCTCTTCAGTATCAGGTATGGCAGTGAGGATTTCATTGTCATCACCAGTTGTACAATTGATGATATTACGATCATTGAAGTGATGATTGATGTTAAAGAATTGTTGAAAATGCAGGACACCTGCCTTGCCAATGTTAGAGTCACCCTCAATCCAATGCCCTCTGCAGTCTTTAATTTTTTGAATTTGGAGCCTTCTCCGTCTATCCCTGATAGTGCTATGAAAGTACTTAGTGTTAGCATCACCTTCTTCGAACCAGATCACTCTAGCTTTCTGCCTGAGAATGTCATCCGGCATCCCCATCCATCTAATGTATTCATCCTGGCCTTTATTCAGTTTAGTCCTGGTGATGTTATTATTGTTCAAGATATCACTCTGTTCAAGGTCCTTCATTTTATTTTCGCAATAGTGCACTTGATCAAACACATTGCCAATGTCTTCTTTAGACCATTGAGTTAGCCTTTTGCTCAACATTTTAAGTTTTTGTTGAAGTCTCCACAGAGGGTTTCCATTAACATGATTCCTCCAGACTTCTTCAACTACCTACAAAAAGATGGTTGGTTAGTCCACAAATTTAGAAATTTGAAATATTTAGGCCCATGTTGGTTAGTGTTATGGCATTGAATTAGGATAGGTCTATGATCAAATCCAACTCTAGCCAAGTCGTTGATAATATTGTTTTGAAAAATCTGGGACCATTCATCATTGATAAACACTCTATCCAATCTCTTCCATATTCTTCTTCTTGGTTCCCAATTGTTTCACCATGTGTATTTTGGTCCAACGAAACCCAAGTCCATCATTATACATTTATCAATGCACGTACTGAATTTCAGACTTTTATTTGTCTTGTTTTGATTTGGATTCCATATTAAGATTAACTACCACATCAATCCCAGAAAGGTTTTTAATTTCTGAAAGCACACTAGTTGACTCATTGACATAGTCATTCATGTTTCAAGCTTTCTTTTCCTTTTTCCTGTTTTCCAGTTCTGCATTTTCATTTTGACTATCATTGTCATGAATTGACTCCTGCTGATCTTCTTTATTATCACTGTTACTGTTGTAGTCATTATGTTCCTGCTTGCTTGAACTTGAACTCAAAGGAGCCTTATTATGATCAGCTCCAACTTGCTCCCCCTTTCTATAGTTAGTCGACTGCCTTTGAGCACTCACAACTTCATCAAGATTACTTTCCTAGTTCAGGTTTTGTGTAGCCAAGGATATCTCTTTGGTATGCATCTTTTCCTGCATACTTGAATTGGTATTAGAGAGAGCCTTATTATTAGCAGCTCAAACTTGATCTCCCTTTCTAGAATCAGTTAACTGCTTTTGAACACTCATAGTCATATCCAAATTGCCTTCTTGGTTCAGATTTGTAGAGCCAAGTTTATCTCTTTGTTATGAATCTTTCTCCTATTAGTGTCATAAGATAGATTGAGCATAGGCTTGAAGGTAAATTTAGCTTGAGCATAGGCTTGAAGATAACTTTAGCTTTCTTCTTAGGGAGTTTCCTTGGTTTGCTCTTCTTAGTATTCTTCCTGGATCTCCCCTGATGTTGCTTGAATGTTTTTGCTGGTAATTATCGGATTCATTCCCATTCTTTCGCTTCAATTGATTTTGAGTGATACTATCTCTATCCTGCCCATTATTGATAGTCTTTCCTTTCTCATAAACCTCCTTCTTGTTATTGAGATCCGTGCCTTTGTTTTCAGCATTCTGGTTTGCACCAAAATTTTAATCATTCAATTCCAATTCTCTGTTAAGCATTGGACCATCAGTCTTCTGACCCTTCTGATTTGCACATGCATTTTGATTTGCATCAGCCTTCTTTTTATTTTCATCAAATTTTTGAACGTCCAGTTCTCTATTTTCCCCTTCTGATCTTCACCAGTTTTTTGGTCATCCAATTCTCTGTTTTTAGCAGTCTTTTCCTTTCTAATGCTCTACAATTGATCATATTGTGTCCAAGTTTTCGACAGAATTTGCAATATTTAGGGACTCCTTCAAATTCAATTTTTTGCATAAAACCTTTTTGAGGAGCATTGTCATATATTTGCCCAACGTACACAGAATTAGGTTGGTCCTTAAGCAAGTCAATTTCAACTCTGACTTTGGCTATACTAGGCCTTGTTCTACCTCTAGTAGCCAAATCCATTTCAAAGGGAGTACCAATTGCACTCACCACTTGTTTAACATAATTCCATGTGTGCATATGAAAAGGTAAACCAGGAAGGAGAGCCCAAACCGGAGCAATAGGCAGGTCCTCCGCCGGCTTGAAATCCGGTGACCATTTCTGGAGCCACATCTACTGCCTTTCGATTTCAATTACTCTTCTAAATCAAGAAGTACTAAAATCGTCTTCATTGGTGAAATCAAGAAAAACATTGTAATTATCAAACACCCCAATCTTGACAGAACCCTTAATCGATATTAGCTCCTTGAATTTTGATGATTTTGTCAATTTGGGGCCTTGGTTTTAGGAATCGACCGACAATTGTGAGTTTGCACTCTTTAGCCATAACACCATAGTAGTCTGAAGCTTTGAAGAGAACCGTTGGTATTCCGTTGTGTGTAGTATGAGTCGCAATGATAGAGTCTCTGCCCTGGCGATTTGGAGGAGTCGGAGTGTTCGAGGAAGAGATGATTTTGGTAGCATAGGACGATTTTGTACCAATTAGCTCAGAGGGTTGGTTCACCATGAGAATGGAGTCGATTGACCTTCCAGACGCGTCGGAACGGCGGGTCCATCGGTGGGTACGTGAAGGGAAGACGCTGACTTTAGAAAATAGCCGTTGAGCACTTGTTTTTAAGTTAAAATGACAAAAACAAGCCAAAAGCCAAAAGTTAGAATTCCTAACTTATGACTTAAAAGCTATTTTGGCTTAAAAATCACTTAAAACAAGCCCATCCAAACGAGTTCTAAGCTTATAGCTTCAGTCATGTTATGTAGTCAAAGTTTTATACCGTATGAAATGGATATTTTAACTTGGAACTACAGTTCAATAAATTAAAATTTCCTGTCTTATACACATAATTTACTAGTTTTTTGCCCTAAATTCAATAAATTTGTACTCTTTAATCCAACAGTTTCACACATAAATTAGACGGACATTCTTCGACATCTCGACGAGAGTGAATTTTTTTTAAATTTGTGGCCTCAAACAACTAACACAAATTGTGCGAGGGTTGACTAAATTTAGCATGTGAAGTTTGTGAGATCCATTACATTATATCATCCCATCTCCTTTCCTCCCGCACATATGTCACCATTCACTCTAAAATGTTTTCTCTTTTTGATACTTCGAATAAGTTAAATAATTTTTTTCTTTGTATTTTTGGCCCATAATCTTTTCTATATTAATTTATTTAACAAATTAAATTTGGTCAGACAAAAATTAGAATTCGTCAATGGTGTTTATAAATTTGCATATGCTTCACACCAACATTGTGTACAATAGAACAAAACAACATTAACTAGCCATTTTTATTATGCCATAGTAGTATGTAAGTAATAAATCAATGATTTTTTATTGATAAATCTTTTTTAAAAGATTATTTGAAAAATAAATAATAAGGGATATGTTCTTAATCACAAATTATCAGTTACAGTATAATTTAAGTGCGTCTTAATCCAATAACATGATTTTAAACAATGTCTTAATTTAAATTAAATTTAAAACTTTTAAAGGGATTAAGGGACAAAAAAATGACGTACCACTGTAGTTCTTTTTTGCCAATAAACCCCCAGCAAGGCAGCAACTGTACCTGTTAAGCAGGATTTTCTGATTTTCTTCTTTTAGCTAGTTCTTACAATCCTGCAAGTATCTCGCATCAAATTCTTCATCCGCTGTTCAACACTTTTTCTACCAGATTAATAATATCGACAAATTAGACTTAGGTTTAATATTCGTCATCAAAGCTTTCTCAGGATCTGATCTGAAATTTGATCCGTCCATTTTCATGATCTGGATCTGAAAGCTCAATCAACGACCGTGACCTATCATTTGTGTTTTTCATCTACCGCGTTTGATTATTCATGTTCTAAAAGGTTTATATAAATCTTAATTCATCGAAATTTGGTTACGGTTAGTTGAATTTGGGAGGATCAATGGAGTGGGCGACGCTACAGCATTTAGATCTCCGGCATGTTGGTCGGAGTTCGAAGCCATTACAGCCTCACGCCGCCGCATTTCATCCAACTCAGGCACTTCTCGCCGTCGCCGTCGGAAGCCAAATCATAGGTACATTTGATACTCCTTTCCTCCTTCAAAATCTCAGCTTTTGTGAAAGCATACAATTTCAACTGAAACTGAATTCACATATACTTTATGTTCTGTTAATAAACTGCATAATGACAAATGAATGAATCCTCAATATATATTTGGCTCAATTTGGACAAGTTTCATTCCGGTATTTAGTAATTTATCTTTTACAATAAACTGTATGATGATGCTGAGTGTATTTTACATGGGCAGAATTCGATGCGTATACTGGAAGCAAGATAGCTTCAATAGACATTGGTTCTCCTGTTGTTCGCATGGCTTATAGCCCAACAAGTGGACATTGTGTAATTGCTATTCTTGAGGTTAGTTCATTATCTTCTAAGATTATGATACTGAGTCTTATTTCTATTAAAGCCTGCAAGTTCTAACACTTGTCGCATTTGACACTAATGGTTTTCCTGTGAACTTAAGTGTGGCTGAAATATCATGGCATTAGGTTTATGTGCATCTTTGAATCCAAAAAAACAACTAATGGTGTAACTTTATCTTTTGCGGTATGGGAGTATTTTAATGGGTTTTCAGTTAGGATTCCTTGTTAACCAGATGAGAACATGCTTTACATGGTGATATACTGGCAATGTTTTAGTGCTTAAGATTTATCAGTATTTGTTTGTCCAGGAAGGGTGATCATATTTTTGAGAAAGTTACAGCCTATTCATCAGCTCAAAGTTTGTGGTGGAAATCATAATTACAATAAACCTAATAACATCTGCCTGATATTCTTCTTACAAGGACTCTAAAAACTGTAGTAAAGTCTCAGCTTCATCTCCACAAAATTCTTTACACCAAAAATGAAAAGACAAACCACAGTTTAGCTTGATTTTTTGTAAAGAATTCCTCCTATCCTCAAAACTCCTATCATTTCTTTCCCTCCATACAGTCCACCATATGCATGCTGGTATAGCCCTCCACCATCTCTTATTCCTTCCCCTGCACCTACATTAAATCCTACAACAAAAAGACTTTCATTTGCACAGTGCAACTGATTCATTAAATCCAACAACACAAAAGACTTTCATCTGCACTGAGCAAGTGACTGCCTTTTGTTTTCTTTGTTTGAGAGTGGAGTTGCGTTCTGGTATCTGGCATTCTGCTGAAATATTAGATTTTATTCATTTACCCTTTTTCTTTTCTGGTGCACTGCCTTTGATACGTTGCACAAGTTTATTCTAGAAGATGTTTGTTATGCATAGAAGGATTATCAATTTGGCTACAGTTAGGATGCCAATTTGGAGAGGTGACAAGAGTAAGTATGACAACTTTCAAATGTAGCTTTTCCGGACATCAACAAAGCAACGAAAGAACCATATGTATAATAGTTTTGTATGGCATAATAAGAAACTACAGAAGACATGCTACAAGAAACATAAAAAAAAGGGCAGCCCGGTGTACTAAGCTCCCGCTATGCGCGGGGTCCGGGGAAGGACCGGGCTGTTTCCACGGCTTGAACCCGTGACCTCGTGGTCACATGACAACAACTTTACCAGTTACGCCAAGGCTCCCCTTCACATGCTACACATGCTACGAGAAACATAATGATGGAAATTTAATTGAGAAGGATCATAGAAGTGAGGCGGTTCTATAATGGCTCTGTTCAGCACATTGAATCTCTATGTTATTTACTGTTTTGTTTCTTTTTGTTATTTGTTATTTTTTTGAGTGACATCATTATTGTTTTTGTTGTTGGTTTTTTGTTGTTGTTGTTGTTTGTTTCTTTGTTGTTGTTGCTGGTTGTTGAAATAAATTGTTTGTACGCATACTAAAAAGAACGTTAAGACGTGGTTTTTGCTTGTTATAGGTTGCCAAAATGCTCTTTACTATAATTAAACTATATATATCATGCTCAATGGACAGAGTACATATTAGTATAAATGTACTCCTTGCATGTATTCATGTACTAGTGTTCTTCACCTATTTGGTAAATGTGAGTGTCTCCTATCAATGTCTGCCACATATTATTTAATGCAGTGACGGGTTCAATTTGGGAGAAGGCGCTATGATCTCCTTAGTGAAGCCTTGATTTGTGATTTCCCTGACTTGCTTCCCACCTCTTTCTCCCCATGCAGGAGTTCATATTTTCCAGTAAGAGTTCTTAAACACTTTGATAAAGCTGCCATACCCTTTTTTATTAGCCTCTTTTGTCTGTGGTGCTAATAATTAATAGTCACATTGTTCCAGTAAGAATTTCACTGGTTTCTTATTTTCTCCGAGTTTAAAGCTCCAATGACGTCACCTGTTCCTTCGTACTGCATTTTGGGCATTTCAACTCTGCTTTTGCTTGTGTCAGTACTCGTTCGGCTATAATCTTGCATTTGGAGGAAATTGTTTTCTCATTTTGCCTGCTGCTTATCGCAGGATTGTACAATGCGTTCGTGTGATTTTGATGCAGAGCAAACGTGTGTTTTACATTCACCTGAGAAGAGGACAGAACGCATTTCTTCTGATACTGAAGTTCATCTTGCACTGACTCCTCTTCAACCTGTTGTATTTTTTGGTTTCCATCGTAGGATGAGTGTAACAGGTCTGTCAAAATTTGAGTTGAGCTCATCCCTGTACGCATATATAAGTTTTTTTCTGCATCATTTAAAGTTAAAAAAGCTAATGCTAGCAGATAACTGCTCCTAGATATGCGTTCTTGGTTCTAAATTTACTCGTTATCTGAAAGACCAGTGTTATTATAATTTTAACTATAGATATTTCACCAACTGAATGACAGTTTATATGGACATGGGAGATGTAATCCAGCTATTGGGTTGCAGTCTTGTCAATTTTAGTCCTGAGAGCTGCATTACCTATCCTGTGCTTTCTTCTGCTTGTTATGCTGATTTGCAGTTTAAAAGAGTGCTTTGTCATTCATCAATTATGGTGAATCAATACTTGTTTCCTGTGAGTGCTACTACATTGTCTCCATTTTTTCTTAGACGTGTTAGGATCTTGATTTATGCGGTTTAACCCAGTGCCTGCACATTTTACTATTTCCCCCCCCTCATTTTTTTCGTTGTTGGTTTTCTCGGGGTGGGGTTTTTTGTCCCTCTGGATTCCAGTCTCATGCTTTCAAACATTTTATCCTTGAAAGAGCAAGTCAGCAGACTCCTTTCATTTGATCCTTTCACCTCGTTCTTTCCTCTGTATGCCCATAAAGCATTAAAGAAAAAGAAAGAACAAAGGTAAACTTAGTTATAACTTGGTAGTTTGGGAAGTAGTCATTTCGTTTGCAAAACTTTGAAGATTAGGGTTCAAGTCCAATAGAGACAAAAAAACACAAGGTGATTTCTTCCCATTTACCTAAGTTTTGGTGGGCAGAGTTACCTGGTATATGTGCAGCAGCCTCCTTCCCTTCCACCTTATTATTCTTCTTTATGTTAGTAACCCTTGGTGGATAGAGTTATCCGGTACTTGTGCTTGTGGGAGGTCGCAGGTACCCAATGGAATAGTTGAGGTGTGCTTGAATTGGTCCTGCACCATAGTTATTGAAAAAGCTTTCGTCTCTTTGCTACATTTGATTAAATAAACTCGTCCTGCACCATAGTTATTAAAAAGGTTCTCGTCATTTTGCTACATTTCTATAATCAAATGCTAGTATTAGAGCAGTTTCAGTGCTTGCATAACTGTTTTATTGCAAAATGTTTCTGACCTCCATCTCTCTGCTTGTGAAGTTGTTGGAACTGTGGAAGGTGGGAAGGCGCCAACAAAAATAAAAACTGACTTGAAGAAACCTATCGTCAATCTTGCTTGCCATCCTCGACTCCCTGTTCTGGTAACATGCTTACTGCAATTAAGCCTCCTGCTTCATGGTTGATCGGCAAAGTATTGTGACTGCCACTTTGATCTGACCTTTTTGTCCTCCCTTTGATTCCAGTATGTAGCTTACGCGGAAGGCTTGATTCGAGCTTATAACATCCACACATATGCTGTACATTACACTTTACAATGTGAGATTTGAACGAGTCCCTTAATATATTCTCTCTTTAGTTGGATTGTTTGAACTTAGTGGAACTTGCATGAAAGCCCTTATGTTTGCCATATATAGTGGATAATACAATCAAGCTGGTTGGTGCCGGTGCATTTGCATTTCATCCAACATTGGAATGGCTTTTTATTGGAGATAGACGTGGTACTCTTCTTGCATGGGATGTATCAACTGAAAGGCCTATGATGATTGGGATGTAAGTAATATCAGTTCAGCTGTGGCTGACTTTATATTTCATATTTTACAATGTCTTCAATTTTGATTTATTTCTGATGTCTTAACATATCTAGCTCAATGTAAGACCTTTGCAACCAATATGTTAGCTCTTTCTCCCTGAATTTGCTGACTAATGTTGCTTTTCCTTTTCCGGAAGCTAACTGACAGCTCAGTCTTAGGCAATATTATATTGCTTTCTGTCACGATCCCAACTTTCCCTCCGTAGGATATCGTGACTGCACCTAGTTTCTAAGATTAGGTAAGCCTAGTGACATGCAGAATAATCAAATAACAATTTAAAAACTCTCAAAATATCCATTAATCAATACATAATAAAATTCCCAAAACCTGGTGAAAATACAAGTCACAAGCTTTTAGAAGGAGTCCCAAAATAGCTCTAAATATCAGAGTCTAATAAAGATAAAGAAACAAGATAGTAAAGATAGAGGGGGACTCCTAGGTCTGCGGACGCTGGCAGATATACCTTGAAGTCTCCACGCACAGCTAGCTCACGGGTACCTGGTTTGATAATAAGTACCTAGATCTGCACAAAAAAATGCACAGAAGTGTAGTATGAGCACATCACGGTGGTGCCCAGTAAGTGCCAAGCCTAACCTCGGTTGAGTAGTGACGAGGTCAAGTCAGGGCCCTACTGGAATGTAATAAAAGACTGGGCAAGAAGTTTAACAATATAATAGCAGTAATGACAAATGGAAACATGTCACATAAAAATTATGTCAAAATTTAACAACACAGAATAAGAGCAATTAGTAATAACTTACTGAAGGGAAAACTTCAATTCAATAAATAAAGAGTCATAAAATAACTGGAAAGTAAATGCAGTCATAAAGAAATGTCAACAGGGGCACTCTCGAGGTACCGCCTCGTAGTCCCAAATCATAAATAAATTCACAATATCTCATTTCCTTATATCACCGCGGGAGCCTTCACATTTAATTTTAAAGAAAATATTTTTCCCAAAATAGCATCCCGCGTTTTAGCCACCCTTATCTCACCGCATGACTTCTAGTAGTTCCCCTACTAGCCACGCGTATCAAGCCATCCTTATCTCAAAGCATGCGTTTCAACACCCAGACCTTATACCACCGCATGCGTATCAATATCACAATATATCACAATCTGCACCTCAAGTGCTCAAATATTTCAACTTGCCAAAATAAATCAACAACAACAATATTTTCCACAATAAAAAGCTCACTGCTCAATCTCGATGGGTGTAAAATCTCAATAACTAATATTTCATAATTTATCACCTTGAGTCCATACCAATTTTTACCATGCCAAATACTTCATATTAAAAATTATTAAATTAAAAAAAAAATACAACCTTCAAATAATGAGCACAAATAAAAGAAACAAGTTTCAATTTAACAGATAGGAAATTAGCAAGAAAAGGTCAGACGAATTTCAAGGATATGAAAATAATTCAATGACAATGAATATAACATGAGTAAATGATTTAATTAATATGCAAAAGTGATCTACACAATTTAAAAGTATAACCTTCCACATTTAGTCCGTGTACACACTCGTCACCTCATGTACATGACTTTCAATACATTGCAATTAGCACATTAATACCAATCCTAAGGGAAAGTCCCCCACACAAGGTTAGACAAGTCACTTACCTCGACTTGCTCCAATTTAATCCACTAGTAGGCTTTTTCCTCGATTATTCAATTCTGAATGGCTCGAATCTTGCCAAAATAATAACAACAACAACAACCAGAAAAATAATAATTACAAAACTAGTTCATGGAAGCAAATGTGAAACAGATCCGAATGCAAGATGGAAGAACAATCAGTTGCTAGAGCAATACCAAAAAAAATCATATAAATGTGCCAAGAAAAGGAACTATTGTAAACTAAAGAAACAAAAATATCTTGGATGAGATCCGGATGAAACATAAAAAGAAAGTTCCAAATGTTTTGGCCAAAAGCACAACAACAATCAAAGAAAGGTAATCAAAAAAGAAAAACTAAAAAAAAGTTTTGAGTAATCTACATGGTACTATAAAGTCCTGCAGTAAAAGAAAACTACTCAACCATAAGACAACCAAATGAAGCAATGAGTAAAACCCATTTCACATATCAAGATTTAAATCTAACATCTTTAATCAAAAAAAAAAAAAATTTTAAAAAAAAAACTACCATAAAACAAAGATCAAAACTTTACTAGACTAAACCCGAATTAAAGCTACTTACTTTAATCAAATACTAAACTGCCACAAAATAAAGATCAAAACTTTAACAGATAAACCAAATTAAAAAAAAAGTATAAGTACCTCAAATAAGTCCAAAAATGAAGAAAAGGAGAATTCGCAATCTGGAGTTGATAAGGTCTTTCAATAAATAGTGATTGCATATAAATATATAAATTTAATGAATGAACTCACCTACCCAATGTGGACCTTTATGGATGGAGAGAAACAAACTTTCGGTGACATGATCTAATTTTCTTCTGTAAACACTGTGGTTTACATCTTGCAGTCAAAGTACGACTGCTCTTTATTTATTTATTTATAAGATTCCAAGAATATTGCCCTATGAAATAAATTCCGATTGGCCTCAAATTTTGCACACAAGTCATAAATGACATAATGAAGCTATGAAAATTTTCAGAACTAGATTCTGATCCCGATATCAAAAAGTTAACTCCTCGGTCAAACTTCCAAACTTAAATTTCTTATTTTCGCCATTACAAGCCTAATTTAGCTACGGACCTCAAAATAATTATTCGGACACACTCCTAAGCCCGAAATTACCATACAGAGCTATTAGAATCATCAAAATTTCATTCTGGGGTCGTTTACACATATTTCACCTTCCGGTCAAATTATTCAACTTAAGCTCCCTTCTTGGAGACTAAGTGTCTTAATTCATTTCAAAACCTCACCGAACCCAAACCAATTACCATTGCAAGTCACATAACAACTGTAAAGCATGAATTTAGCAATAATTGGGGAAACGGGATTGTACTATTCAAAACGACTGGTCGGGTCGTTACATTCTCTCCCTCTTAAACAAACGTTCGTCTTCGAACGAGTTTAGAAAAATACCCGGAGTCTCAAATAGGTGTGGATATTTGCTCCGCATATCCCGTTCAGTCTCCCAAGTAGCTTCTCCGATTGGCTGGCCTCTCCACATCACTTTCACTGAAGCTATGTTCTTTGACCTCAACTTTCGAACCTGCCCATCTACAATTGCCACTGGCTCTACATCATAAGCCAAATTACCCTCCAACTGAACTGTACTGAAATCCAAAATATGGGACGGATCCCCAATATATTTTCTAAGCATAGAAACATGAAATACTGGATGTACACCCGATAGGTTAGGTGGCAAAGCAAGTTCATAAGCCACCTCCCCGATCCTTTTAAGTATTTCAAAAGGTCCAATATATCTAGGACTCAACTTTCCTTTCTTCCTGAATCTCATAACACCTTTCATAGGTGAAATCTTCAGTAAGACCTTCTCACCAATTATGTAAGACACATCACGGACCTTCTGTCGGCATAACTTTTCTGTCTAGACTGCGACGTGCGAAGCCGTTCCTGAATCAACTTGGCCTTGTTCAAGGTATCCTGAACCAAATCAGTACCCAATAGCCTAGCCTCACCTGGCTCGAACCAACCCACAGGAGACCGACACTGTCTACCATATAAAGTTTCATACAGAGCCATTTGAATGCTCGATTGGTAACTGTTATTATAAGAAAACTCCGCTAGCGGTAGGAACTGATCCCAAGAACCCCCAAGATCAATGACACAAGCACGTAGCATATCCTCTAATATTTGAATAGTGCGCTCGGACTGTCCGTCCGTCTGAGGGTGAAATGCTGTACTAAGCTGTACCTGTGTGCCTAGCTCTCGCTGCACTACTCTCCAAAACTATAATGTAAATTGTGTGCCCCTATCAGAAATAATGGACTCTGGCACACCATGAAGATGAACAATCTCGTGGATATAAATCTCTGCTAACCGCTCCGCAGAGTAAGTCGTCACCACTGGAATGAAATGAGCTGACTTGGTCAATCTGTCTACAATCACCCAAACTGCATCAAACTTTTTCTGAGTCCGTGGAAGCCCAACAACGAAATCCATAGTAATCTGCTCCCATTTCCACTCTGGAATCTCTAGCTTCTGAAGCAATCCACTTGGCCGTTGGTGCTCATACTTCACCTGTTGACAATTTAGGCACCGAGCTACATACTCTACTATGTCCTTCTTCATTCTCCTCCACTAATAGTGCTGCTTCAAATCCTGATACATCTTTACAGCACCCGGATGAATGGAATACCGCGAACTGTGAGCTTCTTGGAGAATCACCTCACACAAACTATCTACGTTAGGAACACACAACCGACCATGCATACTCAGTACCCCATCATCCCCAAGAGTTACATCACTGACATCACCGTGCTGAACCGTGTCCTTCAGGACAAGTAAATGAGGATCATCATACTGGCGTTCCTTGATGCGGTCATATAAGGAGGACTGAGAAACCACACATGCCAGGACCCGATTGGGCTCCGAGACATCCAATTTGACGAACTGGTTGGCTAAAGCCTGAACCTCCAATGCTAATGGCCTCTCTGCTACCGGTAAATGTGCTAGACTACCCAAACTTTCCGCCTTCCGACTCAAAGCATCGGCCACCACATTGGCCTTCTCCGGGTGATACAATATGGAAATATCATAATCCTTAAGTAATTCTAACCACCTTCGTTGTCGCAAATTAAGGTCCTTCTGCTTGAACAAATGTTGTAAATTCCGATGGTCGGTATAAACCTCACAATGGACACCGTACAAATAATGCCGCCAAATTTTCAAGGCATGAACAATAGCTGGCAATTCAAGGTCGTGCACAGGATAATTCTTCTCATGTACCTTCAGCTATCTGGACGCGTAGGCAATCACCCTACCGTCTTGCATTAACACTGTGCCGAGACCAATACGC